CCTCCTTTGTCTCTTTTAATTTAGCACTGTTGGTAAGAAGTAGGCAAATAACATTAATTTGGCAGCAAGAATTTAAAGGTCAGTGATTTTAACCTGAGCCTCATTTTAAAAAACAAATGGCTTTCCTTTTGAACATCCATTGTTTTTATTTTTATTTTTTTAAAAAAACAAGTGGCATTCTAGTCCTCTTTGGTACATTTTCTCCTGAAGAACTCACAGCATAGACCTTGTCATCAAAATTTCTACAAGAACTGTTTGATGTGACAAACTTCAGAGTTTTGGAAAGAAGGTACCATGTATACATGATTAAAGTAGGCTCCGCTTTCTAAAGTTTGACTGGTTTCCACGAGGCTCTTTCTGACAAATTGTCGGCTTTTACCAAAAAGTATTTCTGTTATCAGACAATAATTTTTACATATCAGAAGGAAATCTTAACTCATTTAGGTAGATATTTTTAGGTCAGAAAATAAGACAATTATATTTTTTGTTATTGTTGTTCAGGCAGTATGCATTGTATGCACAACTGAAGAGGAAAAGCGCAATAATGGCTCATCACCCTCATTATTGTGAGGATATTGGTCCAAGTTCTCCTAGCTCAAAAGAAATAGGATAGTAGTAGGATAATATGGAAAAGGAAAGCTGCCCACTTTTTAATGGGCACAAACAAGGGACAGAGAATGTCTCAGAGGAAGGGGCCATGGAACAGATTCCATAGCTTTATGCACGATTCAAACCCACACAGACAGGTGTATTACTTGTATGATAGGTATGTATGCAAGCGATCAGGTTGATCATTGAGGCTAGCCAGGTGATGACTCCAGGTATGATCTTTCCTGGGGTGTAATTAGTGTTTTGAATGAGAGAAGTTTTCAACACATGAGAAGACAGGTTTGTACTACAGAAAGGTTGCAATGTTAAATGTTTAGGTTTCTCTGCTTCATCACAAAGAAATGATTGGTGCTAGGACTATCATTCTCATACTCATGATTATCAGTATTATTATTCCATCATTTAGATTTTCTTTGTGATCGTGAGTTAAACAGGTTGTCTGCCTGAGACATTTGAATATTGCCTTTCATTTCATTTAATTGTTTGCATAATGCTATCATATTACTCCAGTGTCTTTATCAAATGATTGTATTCCCTTCATAGCACATTTCATTTTCTTTGCTGAAAATAAGTAAATTGGTAAGGATTAAGATAAAGTGTTTTGTTCACATTTCTACTTTGTAAAACATTCAGCCTTCCCTTAGATTAGTGTGGACCCAAGTTCTTTGGGCTTTGGTATTTTCTCCATGTGTCTTGAATCTGAAAGTACAAAAGCACACACTAGTGATCCCATTGTTGGCAACAAAACACGGGAAAATCCAATGATAACTGTTAGAAGATAGTGGCAGCTTTTAAATTCTAGTGGAAAATCTGCTTCAATTGTGTAATTCCCTCAGTGTAAATCAAATTAAAATCCTGGGAAGAAGTCTGGACCTAGAAGGAATTCAGTTGGATTCTATCATTTGGGCTTAACTTCAACTGGTGTTATATTTTTCTCTCTTCCTCTTGGCTCAGAAGGCAGTAGACAAAGCAGTAGTAAAGAAGCATTGGGTTTCTGGGGCTGGTGAGATGGCTCAGTGGTCTAAAGCACCTACTTAAAACAAGCTTAGCAAAGCACAGGGACCGCGGTTCAATCCCCCAGCACCACATGCCAGCCAGCCCGGGCCCCTGGTGGGCTGAGCTGGCCACACACACACACACACACACACACACACACACACACGCACACACACACATAAATAAAATTAAAAAATAAATAAATAAAAAAAGGAAGCATTGGGTTTCTGTGAATTGTAAAATAAGGTTCACTAGCCAGAGGAGGGTACTTTTCTGTGTCAGATACCCAAGTCAGAATATTCCAGTATGTTGCTGAGAGCCATGGGAGCTGGCTGACACTCACTGATGTTATAATTTGTATCTAAAATGTAAACCACATGGATGATTTTGTAGGATTTTGTAGGCCCTATCCCTATCAGTGTATCCATCCATTTATGATTTTAGTGCTTGAATGTGTCCCTAGGAGGCATGGAATGATTGGGAGCTGGTTCTACGGTGGTGTGAGTTGGAAATATATATTCTTGTCTCTGGCATCTCCCATTCTTTGCCATTTCCCTGCTGGAATTGTTGAGCACCTTTTTCTGTTATTGTGTTTGTTCCTTGGATCCCATAGATCATGGACTGAAACCTTGAGCCAAACTCATCTTCTTCTGCTTTAATTTGTGTGTGTTATGAATCTTGTCTGAGGGATGTGGAGTGGCAAAGCTTTCTGGTGATGCTACATTCAGCACATAGTTAGGAAAGGAGGTTTCACAACATGTCTGCTGAAACCTAAGCCTCACTGTGATGGCATGATTTGCCAGATTTCCATAAAGTATGTCATATTGTTAAAATAAATTAGGATATTAGGAGGGCCATGAAAATCTGAAGAAAGGTTTAATGTTGCTGCAGATGAGACTCAGTAGTACAGCAATTGTAATTTTTGCTTAATTTCCTTTGCTATATCCACATCAAGGCAATCAGTCAAATAATTGACAAAGTACATAAGCAAGTAAATAATTTGCCAGAATGTCAGAGGGGATGGCATCTGTTTAAGAAAGAAATTTGAATCTGATCTGGAAAAGGACAACTTTCAAAAAGCACTGTCTTTTTAACCCACACTGAGAATCTCAAGTAAGGCATTCATTCCCATGTATATGTCGCTTGTATAGTAGTAGAGAGATTCATGTAATCTCTTACATAACTGCTCTTGTCTATGGGCGGTTTGTAAACACTGTTTCAGATAATGAAGTGAGGTTTTATATTAAAATGGCATTGTGGTATGGCTAAAGAACTAAATGCCTGTCTGGAACCACACCAGTAGTTAGGTTGAGAAATTTTGTCTGTGCTAGGAAAAGCATAGGGAAATGGATACAATGTGGGAAAGTACAGAATGATGGAAAGTGGCAAATCTTTCTCCTAAACTAGAGAAGATTTTCCCATAAGGTCAGAATGTTCTTAGTGTGACATTAAAAGCTGGCTTATAGGTTGACTTGTGTTGAATGTGGGTTAAGCTGATCACAGGCCTAAAGGAAAGAGAAGTTTGGAAAATTGTAAATTCAAGTTTTCTCTTTCTGCTGTTCAGTTCACCTTGTTTTTTGTTGTGAAAATTGAAATTAGAAAATTGTATCTGCCCTTCTTGGTAAAAAATTGGTTGGATACAACATGGATAAAGAAATTGACATACAAATAAATGAAGCATACAGAAATCCAAATAGCCATGACCAAAATAAATCTACCCCAAGACATATAATAATTAAGATTCCAGAAAGTCAGCGCAAGAACAAAATATTGAAAGGGGCTACAGAAAATAAACAAATCACATAGAAAGAAAAGTCCACCAGGATCATAGCAGACCTCTCAACACAAACCCTTAAGTCAAGGAGAGCTTGAAAGGAGGGATATTAAGCCCTAAAAGAAAACAGTCTTCAACCCAGATTGATGTACCCCACAAAACTATCTTTCAAAATCAGTGAAGAAATAAGATAGTTCCATGATCACAAAACTAGCTCTTTAGAACACTTTGAAATTCATGATCACAAAACTAGCCCTTTAGAATGCTTTGAAGGATATATTAGAGAAAATGAAGTCCACAAGCACAAGAACACTGATAGAAGCCACCAATTAGGGAAAGTAAACACAGGGGAAAGATAGGGAACCAACAACAGGAAAATAACATGAAAAAGATAACTATCTCTATCATCTATTGATTCTTTTTATTGGTGCCCTCATCGGTGGCTACGGGCACAGCTTTCACTTTGTTGGTCCTTCTTCACATTTCCCTTTCTATTATACCTTAAATTTTTAATATCTGTGACAGGTCAATGTTTTATGTCAGCAAACTATAAAATAATTTATCTTCCTTACTCAAATGTTATTCTTAGACATTTTCCAATGAATACTATGCTTTTCATTTGGATTTTAAATACTAGTCATAAGTGTTACTTTGTGTTTAATTACAGTTTTGTCTAGAAAAAGTTTCAGCCCGGCCAAATAGCTCAGTGGATTAAGGGCCAGCCAAAGAGCTCAACAGATTAAAGTGCCTGCAAGCAGGTGCAGGGCTCGGGGGTTCAATCCCCAGGCCTGCTGTGCCAGCCCCATCCCCTGAGGTGCACTGAGATGGCAATTGAGACTGGGCATGATGGCCTGCGCCTGTAATCCCAGCTCTTGGGAGGCTGTAAATGGGGATCACTACTGAATCTGATCTAATAGTGAGACCCTGAACACCCTGTAGACCCTTCCCTGAAATACAAAAAAAAAAAAAAAAAAGTTTCAAGTTTTACAATGCTGACTAAATACAATCAGAGGAGGAAGGCATGTATTTCCTAAATGATATCTGAGAAAATGTACATTTTCTTATGTTTTCTCAGAGCAAGCCATTAGATATTAATCTGCCCCAGTCCCTCTTTACTCCACATATGACCTAGTAGAGTTTCTCCATGAACCATGCTTTACAGACTGTGGAAATGAATGGATTAACCAGCATAAGAACCAGTATTCCTATTCTGTTTTCTCCTCCAGGAGTGATTTCCATCTAGCATGAAAATTTCTGTGTGATGCATGCATATGAATAAAGAATATTTTTGGTGACCTGAGCATAAAGTAACCATTTGTGGAAAATGCCTCATTTCAGCTTTTTTTTAAAGGAGATTTGACACCCTCCCCCCCCGGGCATGCTGAGATGGTGATTGAGACTGGGCTTGGTGGAGCGTGCCTGTAATTCCAGCTCTTGGGAAGCTGAGCACAGGTGGATCACTATGAGTCTGACCTACGTAGTGAGACCACTTAGACCCTTACTAAAATACCAAAAAAAAAAAAAGAAAGAAAGAAAGAAAAAGAAAAAGATATGAAATATTTAATGCTATAAGCCTTACTCTTCTCTTCTTCCTAAAAATATATTTCTGATGATTTTGAAGGCAGTGACATTTGAAGATGTAGCTGTGAACTTCACCATGGAAGAGTGGGCTTTGTTGGATCCATCTCAGAAGGATCTCTTCAGAGATGTGATGTGGGAAAACTTTAGGAATGTGACTGCTATAGGTAAGGAATATATCTTCTCATTTATGCAATCAAAGAGCATTGTTTATTGCTCATGAGTGCAGTTTTCTTTATTGGAAGATAGAAATATTTTCATGGATCTTCTAGGCATGGTCACATTAGGCCATAAATCTGGAAGCTAATTATCTTTATGTAATGTAGTAGCTCATCATTACATTTTTTCCCCACTCTTTAGGAAGAAATTTGGATGACCAGAAAATTGAAGAAGAGTACAGAAATTGTAGGAAAATTCTAAGGTAATTCTCACAAGAATATTCCTCAAAAGTCAGAAATATTCAGACCAAGGAAACTACACAAATAAGGCTATGTTCAAAAAAGATACAGAACATGCCTATAATCTCACATGAGATGCACAGCTGACACAGAAAGATTTCCAGGAGTTCAAGGCCAACCTCTTTTACGTAGTGAGATCAAGGCCAGCCAGAACTATGTAAGGAGGCCTTGTTTGAATAATTTTTAAAAATTAAAAGGTAAAAAAAAGGACAAGGACATCTTCAAACTTCCTTAATCTCAGAACATTTCTCCAAAGATACATGTGTAATATCTAGAGTTTGACAGTTGACTATTCGAAATATCTCAATACCTGAAATGTAGGGAGTATTGATGTTATTGAACAAGTAACATCGTCTAATGTACAATAATGAAAAAATTATGTTCTATGTTCAAGATTATAAATCAGTTGTATGAAATTGTATTTAGGCATTGATTATATATAATTTGTGTTTAGTTGAGAGCCAACTGCAATATATCTTAATTATTTGTGTATATATTTTCAAAAGATTGCTTTCTCATCAAACAAATTAATAATGCTATATGTATTTAAATGTCATATACACATTCAGCATTTGCAACATTGTAACATTGAGGAACTATTTAAAATCCAAATAAATACCTCTATTTTGATAGTGACTGTTTTAAAGCAATCCTCAAAAGCATTTAGTCTATTTATGTTCTGACATACAGTATTAGTAGACATCTTGCCATGTTTTGAGAATTATTATTGTAGTATAGCATCTATGATATTGTGTATAGAGGTTCCTCAAAAAAGTAAAAATAGAAATACTTTTTTTAAAATTTTATTTATTTATTTATTTATTTATTTATTTATTTATGTGTGTTTGTGTGTGGCCAGCTCAGCCACCAGGGGGCGGGGCTGGCTGGCATGTGGTGCTGGGGGATTGAACTGCGGTCCCTGTGCTTTGCTAAGCTTGTTCTAAGTAGGTGCTTTAGACCACTGAGCCATCTCACCAGCCCCTAGAAATACTTTTTTATCTAGCTATACTACACGGGGTGTATTGCTCCAAAGTTTAAGTAATCATACTACACAAACACATGCACATCTATGTTTGTAGCAGTAAAAGTTACAAACGTGAAGCTCTGAAGAGTCTGGCTGCCCATTCACAGGTGAGTAGAGAGGAAAACTGGGGTATCCCAGGCCAGATGGAACATATTGGGATGCTGGGCAACTTAATGATAGGTGAGACTTAATCTCATAATAAAAGATATATAATTTTGTTACTGTAGCTCAGTGCTAACCCAAGTGCAGTCTCCAGCACTGAAAATTGTGGTGTGTATATATAGTGGAATGGTCTTGAGCCATAATGGAGAATGAAATAATGTCATTTGGCAAGAAATGCATGGGTCTGGAACCCATACTGCATTAAATAAGATAAGGTTTAATAACTCATGTTATATTTTATATGATAAATGCAAAACATGAATTAAGTCAAGTAAAGGAGAGATGATAGGAAAGGGAGAGGCAGACATTTTGGAGACAATGGACAGGCTCATTGGAGAGGCCAGAGGTAGTCGTGGAGGAAAAGGGTATGAAAATTAATTGATATAGGGCTGTAGCTCAGTATCATAAGTGCCTGCCTGGCAAGTGCAAGGTCCCAAGTTTGATCTCTGGTACTGGAAAAAAAAAATCAACATATGGCATGCATATGCACCAATTGTTCAAAATCAAAGTAACCAGTATGTATTGCAAACATAGCACTTCTACATTACCGAATGAATGAATATTGTGTTTTCTTTGACAGAAGCTCAGTGGTAGATAAATTCCCTCGATATAAATTATGGTATCAGCATGGAGAAATGGCTTTTATAACTCCCAACACAAATGAACACACGAAACTGCTTGGCACAAAAGATGAAAGCCTTGCATGTGAAAAGTCTCTGGTTGGTCATTCATCACTAACCATGCCCATCCTACATAACACTGGACTCAAATCATATCAGCTCTGTGAACTTAAGCTGAAGTTGTCTAACTGTAACAGACATGGGAAAACCTCCACTGACTTTCAGTCTTTACAGAAACATGCAAGAACAAATCCTGAAGAAAAGCAATATGGATATAAACAAGATAGAAAATCTTCCTCTGATTGCACTGAAGGATGTAACACTGAAGCAGAATCTTTTGTATATAAGCAAGATGTGAAAGCCAACTATTCTCAAATCCAGGAAAGTAATTACAGTAGGGTGAATAACTGTGCATGTACGCAATGTGGAAAAAGCTTTAATTCTCATCATGATAATGAGAAGCATGAGAGAGTTCACACTGGACCAAAATCCTCTGTATGGAAATCTTTAGATAATATCACTCCATTTGGTAATCATGAAAGTAGTCACACTGGGGCAAAACCGTATGTATGTAATCAATGTGGGAAGGTTTTCAAAACAAAAAGAGTTTGTCAAATACATGAAAGGACTCACACTAGGGAGAAACCCTATGTGTGTAAGCAGTGTGGGAAAGCTTTCAGCACACACAGTCATCGTCACATCCATGAAAGGACTCATACTGGGGAGAAGCCCTATGTATGTAAGCAATGTGGGAAAGCTTTTAGCAGGCAGAGCCATCGTCAGATACATGAAAGGACCCACACTGGTGAGAAACCCTATGTATGCAATCAGTGTGGGAAAGCTTTCAGCACACAGGTTCATCGTCAGAGACATGAGAGGACCCACACTGGGGAGAAACCCTATGTATGTAAACAATGTGGGAAAGCTTTTAGTACACACAGTTCTTGTCAAACACATGAACTATCTCATACTGAGGACAGGCCCTACGTATGTAACCAGTGTGGTAAAGCTTTCCGCAAACGCAGTTCTTGTCAAATACATAAAAGGACCCATACTGGGGAGACACCCTATGTATGCAAGCAATGTGGGAAAGCCTTCACCACATTCAATTATTGTCAAATACATGAAAGGTTCCACAGTGGGGAGAAACCCTATGCATGTAAGCAATGTGGGAAAGCTTTTGCCACACACAGTTCTTGTCAAAGACATGAAAGGACTCATACTGGAGAGAAACCTTATGTATGTAAGCAATGTGGGAAAGCATTCACCACATTCAGTTATTGTCGGATACATCAAAGGATCCATACTGGGGAGAAACCCTATGTATGTAAATACTGTGAGAAAGCTTTTAGCACGCAGACTCATCATCAAGCACATGAAAAGACTCACACTGGGGAGAAACCCTATGTATGTAAGTATTGTGGGAAAGCTTTCACTACATTCAGTTATTGTCAAATACATGAAAGGACCCACACTGGTGAGAAGCCCTATGCATGTAAGCAGTGTGGGAAAGCTTTCAGCACACACAGTTATTGTCAGACACATGAAAGGATCCACACTGGGGAGAAACCTTATGTATGTAAGCAATGTGGGAAAGCTTTCAGTAGACACAATTATTGTCAGGCACATGAAAGGATCCATACTGGAGAGAAACCCTATGTATGTAAGCAATGTGGGAAAGCTTTTAATACACAAAGTGCTTGTCAAACTCATGAACGGATCCACACTGGGGAGAAACCCTATGTATGTAAACAGTGTGGGAAAGCTTTCAGCACAAAGAGTATTTGTCATAGACACAAACAAACTCACAGTGTGGAAAAACTACATAACCAAAATATGTAACCAATGTGGAAAATAAAGCATTCAAACACATTGTCAGATACCTGAAAGTATTCACATGGGAGAAACCCTTTGTATGTACTCACTGCAGGAAAGCTTTGAGAATGCATTTGTCATTAGAGTCATGAAAAGACACACTGGGGAGAAACCCATTATGTAATCAGTATGGGAATGCTTTCAGGAGACATACTGTCAAATATATGATAGGATTCACTGATGTGAAAGGACAGTGCAGAAGTCGTTTCCTTGTATGCAATATAAAGTCATTGTACAGATTATTACATACCTGAAAATATTCATAGGGCAGAGTATCTGAACATGTCAAAAATGTCAAATATTTTATTTTTCTCAGGGTATTCAAGTTCATGAAAGAATTCACATGACAGGGAAGCCATATATATGTAATAAATACATTAAACTTTTCTATTTTTCAACTTACACTAACAATTATGAAAGATCCCCACTGAAGAGAAAGCTTCTGTAAACAGTACAGGAAAGCTTTTTATCATTTTCATAACATCAGAAAACATGGACAAATTCAAAATGAAATTTAGTATAAATAGTGATTGTAACAAAACTAAGAATGAGAGTGAGAGAGGTGTGTTATGTGTGAAACACACTGTTTTAAATCCTACATGCAGAGAAAGTGTTCTTCTGATATATTTATGGATTAATGAACTGATGTTAAGAAGTGCACAATGTTAAATTCAGAATAACAAAGGACCTTGCATCTTAAGTCTGTGTACATGGCCTAATGGGACAATTTAAATGCAAACCACCTTACCTGTATGGGGAAAGTACAGTTTATTCATATAATGAAGTTTTATTGAGTCTTTAAAAACAGCCTTCATTTGTGACAATGTAGATTAATCAGGAGATCACTACTTGAAATATGCCATGCATAGACAAATTAAAAGTTTGATCATATTTGTTTTTAGGATCTAAACTTCACATCTTCAAACATGTAAAGTTTAGTGATAGTTGTCATACATTGGGTGGAAAAGTTGAAAGACATTAATGAGAACACAAAGTTTCTCTGGTAGAGTACAAAATGGTATAGGTCCTATGGTAATCGCAGTAATCCATACTGATGAATAGCATCACAATTTGCTTAAGCACTTTTTAGTGTTTTCCACATACAAGAAAGAATTGTATTAGATGATGTAGATGATATTAAGGAAGAATATGGTAAGTTCACAATGTGAACAGCAACAAGTTACATGTACTTTTTAATGTATGATTTTGTTATTTTTTGTTTCATGAAATAAATACAATTGAACAAAAATGACTAGTTTCTTTTAAAAAAATTTTTTTATTACTTATTTGTGTGTGTGTGTGTGTGTGTGTGTGTGTGTGTGTGTGTGTGTGGCCAGCTCAGCCCACCAGGGGGTGGGGCTGGCTGGCATGTGGTGCTGGGGGATTGAACCGCGGTCCCTGTGCTTTGCTAAGCTTGTTCTAAGTAGGTGCTTTAGACCACTGAGCCATCTCACCAGCCCCCAATGACTAGTTTCAAGATGTACACACAGGTTCTCCAATTTTTACAGATGTAATTTAACTTGTATTTCTGAAAATATTCAGTATTCATTGGTCTGAAGATTGTAGGCTATTGTGAAACTAAAAGTATTCAATCGTTTACTGAAATTTAGGACTAAACTACTGAAGTGTAGTCCACTGGAAATGTAAAATGTTTTTTGAGCATATAATTTGGAAACAGTTGACGGTGCAAGTTTATTTCGTCCCGTTTTGACAGAAAGTTGTTATATATGTGCTCAGAAAGCATTGTATATTTTTAAAACACTTAACCATGTTTGTCTGCTTTATTCACTTAATGTTTATGTTTTCAGGGAGTACTCATTTTTCTACAAATGAGTAGAATTTATCCTTAAATTTATCCTTTATAGCCAAGTAGTGTTCCACTATGTACAGACACCATATTTTCTATTTCATACTTTCTTCTCTGCATGGACATATACAAGGACGCAGAACAATAGCACTTTGGCCAATGGGATCTAGAGGCCAAGGAAAGGAAGAAGGGGATGTAAAGTGATTTGATATCATATTCCAACTACTGACAACACATGCAATCTTTATGTGTCCCAAACGTGAACTAAATAATGATAACAATGTGAATAATTATGATGATGGGGAAAAGGGGAAAGAGGATCTGGAGACACAAGAAAGATAGTGGGTGAGATGGGAAGTAATAATCAAAATATTAGATATATATGCCTCTTCCCTAAGATGAACAAGTACATGTACTTCATGCATGTATGAATTAAAAAGCTCATTTAAAGACAAACATTTACAAATACTGCATACTTTTTCTGTTTCATAATGACTTAATAGCAAATGTATTGAAAGTATATAAGTATGCCTCTGGGTTTCTGAGAACAAAACTCCATGTTTCAGTTTTCTTTAGTTTTGAATTCCATGTAAACATTTATGTTTATTGTATGCTCCAACTAAATGTACTTACACTGAGCAATTGAAGGAACAGTCCACTGCATGCACTTTCATTGGTTACCCATGGCAGTGATTATGTGGTTGGTTGGGTTTTTTTGTTCGTTTGTTTTTTTGAGGGAGAAGTAGGTATACACATGTACCAGTGCATCTGTCAGGTTGGATTAACACGTGGGAATGTTTGTTGTTTGGGTTTTTTTGGTATGTAGATCGTACCTTAGTTTTGGTACACCATAACATTCACCAAAATACATTTATAGTTGCTGTTATAATGCACTGTACTGAACCTAACCAAATCACCATAAGGTTGTTCCCCTTGTGAAATAATTAATTTTCTCAATTTTGATAACTAAAAATTTGCAAAATCACTGCCAAGTAAAATATCTAACATATGATAGCTTCTAAATAAGCTTTCCCAATGCAGTGAGGGTTACAGGGTGTCTTGCCTCAATATGTCATAATTGAGGTTCTTCACTTGTGGCAAAAAGAAGTCCTACACATACCACCTCATATCATCAACTTGGGAGCTAGAATCTAAAATATATTTTTTGGGGTGATCAGACATTCAGAATACAGAAACTGAGGTTGTATTGTGTGCTGAGCAGTGTAGGGGTTGCGTGAGGTTTGTGCATCCTCCAGCAGTTGTGCTTACCAACAGTACTCTTAGAAGCAGGTTGAGGCTAAAATTGCAGCAATCTTTAAATTATAATGTACAAGAAACAATGCAATTGTAGATGTGAACTAAATTAGACAAGAAGTATTCCTGAAGGAAAGATAAGTTTGATCACCATGTATTTTGAGATCCTCAAAATAAATATTAAAAGTAAATGACAAGGATTTCTGCCAGGCTCATAAAATAATTTCTCATGTTATCTGTGCCTTCTGTTGCCTGAGAACATTAAGCTCTTATAAGCATAAACAGTTGTTACAGAGAACAGAAAAGAATATTGAAAATGCAGTTTCTGAGGTCAGCAGAGGATCAGCATAAATCTGCAGTGTTATGGAGGTTTTAATTTCACAAAATTGGGCCAATGCAGTATATTTCCAAATGCAATTCACTTTTCCACTTGCCACTTCTTTTCCAGAAAAATAAATTTCAGCATCATCAAATCTCATCGCTTAACTCAAATATCTGACTCCTAGGGAATGCCCCCCATTCACTTCTCCCAAGAAGTTCTACATTTTCCAATTAATGTAACCCTACTTACCATTTTCTACCTCCTTACCACCTTATGTAGTTTAGCCAACTGTCCCTCAGACAAAAGACTTCTATCTGAAGCATATAATTTTTTTTTTTAAAATCAGGCCCCCAAGGGCTGGTGAGATGGCTCAGTGGTTTAAAGCACCTACTTAGAACAAGCTTAGCAAAGCACAGGGACTGCGGTTCAATCCCCCAGCACCACATGCCAGCCAGCCCCGCCCCCTGGCGGACTGAGCTGGACACACACACACACACACACACACACACATAAATAAAATTTTTTAAAAAAAGCAGGCCCCCAAAATTCAAAGACCGAGTCAAAAAGTGGGCATCTGAGATGAATATGCACTTCTCAGATGAAGAAATGCTAATGACAAATATATGCAAAGAAGTTCAACATTATTGGTCATTCAGGAAATGCAAATGAAAACAATACTGAGATTCCATCTTCAGAAAGAATGGCTATTTTCAAGAAATAAAGCAATAACAAATACCAGTGAGGCTGTAGGGTGGAAAGGAACCCTCCATTATTGGTGGGAGTATACAACCACTATGGAAATTAGTGTGGAGATTTCTCGGAAAAGCTAGGATTGGAAGTCCCATTCAACCTAGCTATTTCCCTCCTGATTATCTTCCCAAATGTATGATGTTTTCAGGTCCTTGTGTTTTTCTGGAAAAGAAGTGGCAAGTGGAATTCTCAACAACCATCCATTACAGGCATGTGCCACCACATCTAGATCCTTTCACAATTACTGTGACTTTTGGATTTTATTTGGTCTGCCAGATTCTGATACTAGGGAGACAATATGATGTTTACATGTGTGGGTCTGATTTATTTCACTTCTGAATATGGTCTCTAGTGGCATCCACTTACCTATATATGTACACTCATGTTTATGGTAGCACAATTTGTCATAGCTAAATTTTGGAAATAACCCAGATGTCCATCAACATGAGAAATGGATAAAAAATGTGATATTTATGTGCAATGGAGTATTACTCAGCTACAAAGAAGATAAGCTCAAGGCTTTTATAAGTAAGTGGATGTCACTAGAGACCATACTCAGAAGTGAAATAAATCAGACCCACACATGTAAACATCATAGTGTCTCCCTAGTGTAAGGAACTAGAATGCTAAATAGGATCTAAAAGGCTGAGGCAGGAGGGTTGTTGAGAGTTCAAGACCAGACTCTGCTATGAAGTAAGCTCAAGGCCAGCCTGAACTGCATAACATGACCATATCTCAAAAAAAAAAAAAAAGTTATGAAAGAAAATAATTTCTCAAAAGGAAGGAACAAGTGGGATGAGGAAAAGGAGAAAAGAAGTAAATATATATATGTATGTAATTATACTACTAGTTTGTATTAGTTTATTGGAAGGAACAGTTAATGCTTAATTGTTTGATCAGTTTTCCATGGCTATATCTGGTAATCTGAACAACTACTTTCAGTATAACAACATACAATATAACAATCATTGTTAATTTCCTATTACATATTTTAAAAATTTTGTATCATTTTTATTGATTTTTGTTTCTTTTTCTTTTCTTTTTTTAAATTTTATTTATGTGTGTGTGTGTATGTGTGTGTGTGTGTGGCCAG